AAAAAAAAAAAAAAATGTGGTGTTTAGTCTTGTTTTGTCATCTCTGCACATATTTTCTCTAGACCCCTACTGGGAAAGAATTATTTGGTATAACATCCAACCATTAACTGTGGTTCCCTAACCTATGGGAAGAAATGGGCCCAGGAACAGTAGGGAGCAATGAGCAAGGGTAAATGTGTAGAAGGTAAGGTCAGAGAGGAAGCAGAAGGGTTTCAGCAAGGAAAATGATACTATTTTATGTATCTTTATATTTTCCCCTTAGAGCACAAGCCCTTTTAAGATGGGTTTCCTGTTACTTGCAGCCAAAAGCATTCCTCATAGATACCATATCTTGCTCTTCTTGGGCTTAAGTTCATCAATTCTTCTTCCAGTAGAGGTAACAGATTTTATACTAAAAAAGGTGTCATTTCCTCAACATATTTCTTACCAATGTTTATGCTATCTTTTACAGATCACAGGGAAATCTCCCTTGATGAAGACAGGAGCAAAACATGAATTGAACAGTTCCATTCTTATCAAGACTGTTCATAAAAAATAAACACAGGAGATCTAGCTAAAGAAAATATTTGAGATTCCAGCATGGGGTTAGCACTGATGGTACCTCATGGGCACTGGAGCTAGGGATTGACTTGGGATTGGCAGTAGCTCTAGAGAGCTCAGCAGCTGTCTAGGAAGTACCCTGATACTCCTCCCCTTAAAGTGATTCAGTTACTTTCTATACCTCTCTGTTCCTGCCTCATTACTAAGTGGAAACTTCCCTCTATGCTATGTAGTTCAAAGTCATGAGAGAAAGAATATGATTGGCCCACTCACCAGGACACACCACACAAATCCAGGGTTGCTGACAAGCCTATGGACTAGTTACTCAGAGATCAGATGTATATACATACACATAGTATATATATATATATATACTAAATGCTGAAAGTATTAGAGGAAAACCACAAGGTTCTTCTCTGGGGAGGTTTTAGTACAGCTGGTAGTACAATATATATACTATAGAAAAGAAGTATATAAAAGTACATATATAAAATACTATATAGTATAGTATATATATAGCATACTATATATATACTTTTCTTATTTATAATATACTATACGATATTTCTTATTTATACTATACTATAGTATATACCAGGGGTCCTCAAACTTTTTAAACAGAAGGCCAGTTCACCATCCCTCAGACCACTGGAGGGCTGGACTGTGGGCCCCGGGATGAGTCGGCTGCTAAGCAGGATGGGCAACAGCAGCAAAAACACCTGGTGGGCCTGATAAATGTCCTAGGTGGGCTGCATGTGGCCCGCGGGCCATGGTTTGAGGACACCTGGTATATACTATACTATAGCATAGTGTGTGTGTGTATATATATATATATATATAGTATACTATATACTATAGCATAGTATAGTATATACTATACATAGCATAGTATATATATACGATAATACATATATATATACATGTGTACATATATATACACATATATATACTACATGTGTATATATATATATACACACACATACTTCTTTTCCTATTAACCATACAAAAGCACACAGGTCAGATCTGCCTTGTGCAGGTCACAGTTTGCCAACTTCTGAACCAGATAAAGTGTCAATGGTAAGAGATAAAGTGTCATGTGAATTCCCAAAACGTGATAAAACCATCAGCAAAACTTAAATTTTCACATTTCTTTCAATACACCATTCTACATCTATGAAAATTCTCCACTGTACCTGAAATTCATCGAAACACAAGAGACATGCTTCTTCGCTGATTTCTTCAGCGATGGGAGCTATTGGGTCATACAATTTAGCCATTAATCCTGGTTTCCTTTTTGGCAAACTCTGTTTAAGGCGATGTATTCCTTAAATGGATGAAATCGAACACAGACCAAATATTATATAAAAACATTGTAGACAAGTAAAACATATTTTTCAAAAGTGTAAATAAAACTTCAGTGTGGCTATAAAAATTAAGCTTAAATTCCATGTACAATCAATTTGATTATTGAAATTGGTTGTGTTTTTTTCTACCTTGAAATAAGTTATTAAAATATTATTATGTTCTTACAGTTGTAAGGAAACTTCCAAGTCATTCCATCTCCACTCTTCAGTCACTTCAGAGATGACAAGGTGATAGATAGGTGACTAGATGTGATCCCGCCCAAGTAGTGGGAGAGCCTGTGTGGTCAGAATGTTCCTTTTTCTCCAGCCTAAGACACTAAG